TCTCCACTAAGATTTTCATGGTGAAAACACATTGTTGTGGTGTCAGCTTCATGATCGTCATATACTCTGTGAACTTTCTGCTCACGTCGTCTATGAGTTGTACAACCATAGCAGCGATTACATGATCCTCTATTTTATTGACGTTGTTTTCCAACTTACCATACAGATATTTTACCCTTTTATTCTGGAATTATTTATTGGCAAAAGATGTCGGCTATTTTCCTCCTTCAATGCCTGGCTTCGACTTCCACATTGGTAGAGGCTACTTTTCGAACGCCCTTAGGTTGATTTTGCTGATGATCGCAGACCTGGTTTTCTTACGCCCAGAATTCTGTATAGAGACAGACGTGTTTAAATAATCTTAGGATCAGATTCTTATTGTCCATACCGATCTACCGATATTTTGCCTGTCGGGTTATCAGTCTCATATACTGCATAGTATAGATCACATCGGTATCTTTTCTTGACAACTTTGTCAAAAGCTGGTGGCTCTTTATTTCTTTCAGCTTCTGATTTCCTCTGGACTTTCTTTTCAAACACCCTTACCTTCTCAATAGTTGTGTTTGCCTTACTTATCTTGGATTTATTCTCAGTGTTCAACTCATGGGATATCGGATACTTGTTGCTTCAGAAGATGTTAAAGGAGAGTCTGATATAAACTTAGGATTAGTTTCATTCGCAGTGAGTATTCCAACTGTTTGTTGGACGAGAACTTGACTATCATACTTATTGGGATTAGTTTCATTCACAGTCGGAATACTGTATGTAAAGGCTTAGGTTGCTTGAAGGCCCTTCCGATTATCTTCTTTTCCTTCTCCTCTTCATTTCTGCTAATGGCATGTTGTAGATTTGATACATTGTCCACCCCTGGGTAACCAATTATTTTCCTAAACGTAATATAATCAAATGAAATGTCTTTTGATTAACTTAGCTATAGCTATGCTATAGAACATAGCATTCGTAATTTATTTAAAATTCTGTAAAAATTATGGGTTTTCGGAATTTTGCTCATGTCTATCTCTATATGTATCTCTATTACTTATAAACCGATTTGACTGATTTTACAAAGTAAACTTCTCGAAAGTATTTGTGATATCATTATTTAAGATTCGGATCCCTAAAATATCTAAGATATTCAGAAACTTGATATTAACAGACATACGGATAGATAGACTTTGCTATCAAAGGATTCAGTATATGAAATTTGGGTTCACAAAATTAAATTCTCAAACTTGACACCAAATTTATAAATTTAACAAATATTTAATTAAAATTTTAAATAAAATTATTTTTAAAGATTTATGTATAAAAATTTTCAATATCATAAATGTTTTAAAAAGTCAAATTTTACCGCAAACTAACTGTCTGTCAACTGTCAATCAGCAGTAAAATGTTATAATATGTTAATTTGAAATTTATTTATGTTAAAGTTGATTGTAAAATTGTTAAGTATAATGTTCGTTAAATTGAAATATGTCTTAATTACTTATGTTAAATAGATTTTATTTATACCAAAAATCTTAAAGAAAACTAAATTAAATCAATTTATTGTTTGGGCATGAATACAACATTAAGGTGAAAGTACAAAACTCGCGTTGTACGCGGCAATGCGTTATAAACGTCTGTCAAAAAAAGTTAAAATAATGTATTTTCATAAACCAAGTTCAGCAACTTCCAATTTGATAAGAATTTTGTAAATTTGCAAGATGGGTTGGATCCTTATAGGTATGTTCCATTAATATGTCATATATACATACTAAAACAACAATAAGTTTTATCTACCATTAAACGGCTCTAACATGTAAATCTAAAAACCAGTTTAAACAATTAAATTTTAATTAAACCCCTCAATATGAAGAAAAAATTCCTACTACGCGATTTCACAATTAAGCGACAAATGTTTTTAGTGTTCATGCACTAATTAAAAATCATGCTTAAATTCCATACTTTATCCGGTATCTTAATCAAGCAAATAGACAAAAGAAATATCTTAAACTTTTGTAAAAACCCAGAATTAAAGTAAAAACCAAAGTGTGGGAGATTGTATTATCACAATGGAAATTTTTGTTTATTTCTTTAAATTAAGGTTTTTTGTCAATTTTGACTTTTGTCAAAATTTTGTTTATTTTATTTATTAGTCTAGTATTAGGCACGAGACTCAGCTTTTTGTAAGTATGAGGTAGTATAAACTTTACCTGTAAACATCTCTATATGTCTTTTATTTGACAGGTGTTAAAAATTTATACAAACAATGTGATTGCTTCTTTTACCACTAGTGTTATTAAAATTTTGATTTTGTTGTCGTGTTTGATCTCTTAGTCATCGTTTAAACTCTTCTACATGATTTCATGGCGATTTTTTTGCGATAAATTGTTTGGCAACATGGTAAATCATTATTATTTTCTATTTTTATACTTTACACGACTTAAATGGGGAGGGTATATTCGATTTGTCCTAATTTATGTAACTACACTCCACCTTAAAGTATACCAATCGACATTTTCTGAATCGATTTAGCGATGTTCGTCCATTTGTCTTTATAATCAAACTCAATATAATTTGATGAAATTTGAAAATATTAATCTGTCTGATGAAATTTGAAAATATTAATCTGTCCATTATTTTCGCCCATACCTTCCTATTTTGGCACAACATGCGTCAAGTGTACAGCATTTCATTAGCAAAAATGTAGGAGTGGAAGAGAGAGATGTAGTCGGAGAGAGCTTAAAATTTACCTCAGCCTTTAAATATAGTTAGCGTTTCCGACTCTGAATCCTCAGATGATAATAACAACACCTTCATATCGAATCCCAAAATGGATGAAGCAGAGCAAATAGTGAAGAAGATGAGTGATAGCATGTTTCAAAAATTCATAGTGAGTCAACACGACACGAAAGGAAATATCGGATTCTCTTTCAATATCTGAGGTAAAGAGAATCGGACCTCCCGAGGAGCTGACAACTGAAATCTAAGAAGAAAAAGATCTCACCATCTTCTAATATACAGTCGAAATCTCACTCAAATATACAGTCAATATACAGTCGATACCTCACTCAAAGGAAACTTAAGTCAGGGTCCAGCGACAACGCCAAGAAATATATTCCAAGGATGAGCACTTCGACTGGAGAGGTTCTGAATATGGTCTTTAGTTGGGCTTAAACGAGAGGCCTGAGTGTTAGCACGGCAGAGATTCTGTCTGTAATCCTTGATTGGCTTAACAAAGCACATAAGCGCTAAGGCTTTGTAAGGGAACCATAATCATGGAATAGGGCCTTAGTCCTACTACATTTGCTTTATAAAAGTGTAACAAGAGCAATTCTAACGTTTGCTTCAATAATCCTGTGGACTTCTTTGGACAAAAAGTGTAATATCAAGGGAGTTCAGTGTATATGCTGCTTGGGCATAAGTGGCGCCATAAGCACTAAGTCAATGAACGCTCTGGAAACGTTGCCACCCATTGAAATATATATGCGATATGTGGCAGCAATTTCAGCCGAACGGCTCTTAACTTTAGGCGAACTGAACAAAGGCTGTTATAGGACACGTAATCAATGTATACTGGAAGGCTATACACATACATTGGACGTGTCCAATCGCATACCAGACACAGAATATGTCGGAAATTATGAAACAATGATCTCAGATAGAATGTCATACTCCAGCGGAACATTAGAGCAAATACGCATAGGAATCCGTTGCAACACGCATGAGTCTAAACTGAGAGACAAAATGGGCCTATATTGAAGATCCAGAATCAGAAATATCCCGTCTTTCTTTCCCGGCAGAAGTCCGAGCAATAGGGTAATTCGTAAACTGGATTAGAATAAATCTGGCTCCAGCAAGTGTTAACATACAACCAGATAGAAATTAGGGCGATATCAGGTGATAATATTAAATCTATGACCCTATTGGATTGTAAGAAAGCTTTAACCGAATACACTCGCAGAAGTAAGCTTTGCATTATATGGCTACCAGACCCCTCGGGACTAGTTGGCAACGAATGAGTGAATTTACTTTCCTTAAAAGGGAGGGATCTCGAGATGGTTACTTTGAATAAGGCTTCTTGGAATAATGAAACGGCAGGTAAAACTACAAAGATCATGATGGGGTGTCCTTAACGAGAGCAAGACGAGAAGCCTTCCCAAAATAAGCAAGCGAACACACAGGAGTACGGGCACAACTATACAAAGTTTTAAGTGCGGATTCAGACGAATGGTGAGCATGTGGATATAAGTTTCTTAATTTGCTTTACCTACAAACAAAAAGGAGCGCACAACCGGTCCGATAGTTTCCTAGGTGTATTTCTTCGTTAATGAACTCATACTAGTGACAGCGGCTGCAGATATTTTGCATGAGGCAAATGACGTGAGTGGGCACTTACAGCTAATGGATGTTCATGTAGGTGAGGATGTAGTCTCATGGCGGGCATTGTCATGGCCCTGGAATTGATAGAATGTAGGGAATGTTGGAAGTGTAGACTTGGTTCCAATTTTGGTTTTGTATCCATAAGATTAGCATAGGCTGGATGTTGTACGCCACCTAAGGTGGGTTCGTTAACTTTCTAATTTAGTTATTTTATATTTTTTTACCAACAAACATTTTCCATGAAAAGTAGTGCACAACAGGCCCGATAGTGTCCTAGGTATATTTCTTTGGATTTGACACTCCTATCATTCTAACCTATTTATTATAATTTGTCAGACTATACTGATCATAAATGTCCAATGTGAGGGCAGTGTGACATTTCGTTTCACAGTTAACCCTTACGTAAGCTCTATCGGACTCAAAAAAAAAACTTATATAAAGAATTGGTTCAAGAACCCATAGAATTCTCTTGCTCCGTCACTCTTCAACATACAAAATTAGTAGGGAGAGGATACAAAAAGCTTTCAACTTATTTAGTCTCTGTAGTTTACGTCTTTCATGAGCTTTGGGACTACAAAGGTTAAAGACCCCAAATTTAATTTTTGTATTAAATAAAACGAAAAGTATTTTATTTTAATTTGTCAATTAATTTATTAATTTTGTGAATTTATTAGAAAATTTACATTGTGATTTGTTTTTTAGCATATTTACTTAAAATTAATTATTTTTTTATACATAAATAGTACATAGCTAGTAAACAAATTTTGATTTTTATTAATTACACTAAATTAAGATTTTTCCAAAGATAAATTGTTTAAATTTCCACAATGATAAACAATTTAAAAATAATTATTTTAATAAGTAGTAGTTTGTGTGTGTGTGTGGGTATTTTTGTACGTAGGAAAATTATATAAAATATTTAATTTATTTTTAAATTGTTTTTACTAAACTATTAAGTTTTTTCTTATTATTTAATAAGTAATAAACGTTAAAATTCTATATAAATTTAAACAGTGTAAGAAAGAAAAAAATTCAAATATTTACAAGGAAAAAAAGTATGAAAAGTTAAGGAGAAAGAATTAAGGGGAAAAAATTGCACAGGAACTGGAAAAAGCATATAGATTTACAAAAGGGAATGTTTTAAAAAGGTGATAACTTAAATTATTTCTTCCATATAGTATATTTTAAATGTGTATTTGTTTTATTAGGACGGCTATAGATATTTTGTTTTATTTTTAATTAATTAAGCTTATTTAAGGCAATGATTTTTTTTAACTTTTCATTATACATACATATTTTCTAGAATTTGTTATAGATTTTATTGTTTAAAATCTAACTTATTTTAGGATTTAAACATATTTCAGCTTAATACTATTAATTAAATTAAAAATAATAATAAACGAAAAAAAAACTGAAAACAAAAAACAATAAAATAAAAAAACATAAAAATTTTTACTTAGATAAGGATTTTGAGGGAGTTTTTTTATATATAGTATTTGCTAGTTAGTAATACGATGTGTTATCATTTTTAAGGAAGGGGGAAAGGAAAGGGCTTTAGCATGCTTTAACAACAGTTGGAATATACAATCACAAAAGACAACACGTGCAATATTCAACTGATGATCACATACTAAAACAACTATTTACAGAAAGTACACATCTGTTTTAGATATTTCCAAAAAAAAAAATGCCCTCAAAATTCTTAAGATTTTATAAATTAATATTAAAACCCTTTTAACGTTTTATGCTAAAGTGCTGGTTTAGGCCTAAATACAGTGTAAGGGGGTGTTTAAGATTTCGCTAGGACAAGTGTTGTTGTTACACGATACATTAAGATTGTGATTATTACTACTATTATGGGCAGCAGCAACTACCGCTAAAGCAGCCTCTACTTCAGCGGTATCATGATCTGACTCCATTGCAGCGGATCCAGAATTAACTACCATATCATGTAAAACACTATCCGAACCTACAACACAACCACTGCTATTCATAGTTGCTGTTGATGCTGCCACTAAACTATTTTCTCTACCATTAATACGGCCATAAGGTGGTCACATCGCTAATGAACCCACACTGGCGACAGCAGCTGCAGATATTTGAGCATGTGGCGACTGTTGCAAATGATGTGAGTGAGCACTTACGGCCAATGGATGACCGTGTAGGTGAGGATGTAGTCTCATGGCGGGCATTGACATGGCCATGGAATTGATGGAGTGTAGGGAGTGTTGTAAGTGTAGACCCGGTTCCAATTTGGGTTTTGTATCCATAAGATTAGCATAGTCCGGATGTTGTACACCACCTAAGGTGGGTTCGTTAACTTTCTTATTTTGTTTACGCTCTTTGGCTCGTCGATTTTGGAACCAGATTTTCACTTGACGTTCGGACAGCGACAACGATTGGGCTAGTTCGGTTTTACGGCGTATGGTAATGTAGCGCGAGGTGCAGTATTCTTTCTCGAGTTCTAAACGTTGGAAGTCGGTGTAGACAACACGATATTTATCCTTGGTGCGAGTTTTGCCTGCATGAGAACGAAAGAAGGAGAATGAAATTAGTAAATTTGTTAATTTTAAGTTAGAAGATATAAGAAGATTTTTTTAAATTTAGTTTAGTATAGTTTGGCCTATATTATTTTCTATAGGGAGGACTTTAGTCTATTATATAGTCTGGACTATGATCTGAACTAAAGTCTATTCTATAATCTGGACTAGTCTATAGTATATTTTGTAGTCTGTACTGTAGTCTATTATATGGTCTGGACTATAGTATTTTCCAAAGTCTGGTCTATAGTATATTCTATAGTGTGTACTTGTCTAGTAGATAGTCAGGGCTATAGTCAAGTTTAAGTATAGTCTGGACTATAGTCTAATCTATAGTCTGAACTATAGTCTAGTCTATGGTCAGGACTATATTCTGGACTGCAGTCTAGCTTATATAGTCTGGTATATAGTCTGGACTGTAGTCTATTTTATTGTCTGAACTATATAGTCTGGAATATAGACCAGTCTATAGTTTAATCTATAGTCTGGACTATTGACCAGTCTATAGTTTAGTCTATAGTCTGGACTAAAGACCAGTTCATAGCTGGACTATAGAACAGTCTATAGTTTAGCCTATAGGCTGGACTATAGACCAGTCTATAGTTTAGCCTATAGGCTGGACTATAGTCCAGTCTATACTTTAGTCAATAGTCTATTATAGTCTATTATATAGTCTGGACTATTGACTAGTCTAGAATCTGGACTAAAAACCAGTCTATAGTCAAGACTGAAGACCAGTCTATAGTCTGAACCATAATTTAATGTAATAATTGAAAAAATATGAACTTTAGTATATAGTCTGAACTGATTTGCTAGCATTTTTGTATAAAAATCTAAAACATCTATTAAACAAACTAAATGACAATCGCCTAAACCCTAGTAAAACATTTCAAAAGCTTTATCAAGTTTTTACGCTAGAACTATTACAACAACTGCGATAAGAAAGTCCACCAACAACTGTTTATAGTTGAGACCATTTCGCTTAGAATCCCAAATTACAATGTTCGCTTCGAGTGCAACAGAAATAATATTTATCATATTGATTTGTTCATCAAGAGGTATTAAATGTTGTATGCAATGCGGTATATTTGATGTGCAACGAGTACATTTTATTCTGAACAATAAAAGCTTTAGAAAATAGCAAAATTGTAGAAAAGTTTAGTAGTTAACAACATCTATAATAATATGTCAAGCTAATGTCAAAGTAATCCATTATGGCAGGCAGTATTTGTTGTAGTTAGAGTTGTGTATTTATTCAAAGACTAGCAGGGAACAATGTGTGTAAATAAATTCCAATGACAATTTTCAATATTTACTTTTTGAGGAAAAAATGATAATGTAAAATTATGGGATAGAAGCGAGAAATGACGACAAATTGTCTGGTAGTATTTGAATATTTTTTACTAGAACTATGTAGTAGATATTGAAATAAAATTGAAGAGTTATTGAAGAGCTAAAGAGCTTTAGAATAGGTCGTGAGAGCTTTTTGAAGTTTTTAATAAAGTTCAAAACTGAATGTGATAATGTGAATCAAAAACTTATGAAAATTGTACTGCGATTACGAAAGTAGTTAGAGCTTTATAACTGAATTAAAAAGCTTTGCATATTTGCTTTATATTTCTTGTCAAGGCTTTTAAATAAAGCTAAAAGAATATGATTTCAAAAGTTTTACAAGTTTACTTTATATTTCATGTAAAAAGCTTTCAAATCAAGCTTGTTTTTTCAAACTAGCTACAGAATTAATTGAGTCAATTAATAGTTTTCGATGTAACTTATTGTTATATCAATTAAAATTTGACATAATAACAGAAACCTAAGCTAAAGGTAATCAAAGCTTTTAAATACTGCTAGAAGAATCTAATTTCAAAAGCTATACAAGTTTACTTTATATTTCTTGTAAAAAGCTTTCAAATAAACTGGCTACAGAAAAATTTGATCCAATTCTTGTAAAAAGCTTTCAAATAATTGTGTCAATTAATAGTTTTCGATGTAACTTATTATTATATCAATTAAAATTGTACATAATAAGAGAAATCTAAGCTAAAGGTAATCAAAGCTTTTAATTGAATCTAGAAGAATCTGATTTCAAAAGCTTTACAAGTTTACTTTATATTTCTTGTAAAAAGCTTTCAAATAAACTGGCTACAGAAAAAATTGATCCAATTCTTGTAAAAAGCTATCAAATAATTGTGATAATTAATAGTTTTCGATGTAACTTATTGTTATATCAATTAAAAAAACCTAAGCTAAATGTAATTACAGCTTTTAAATAAAGCTAGACGAAACAGATTTCAAAAGCTCTACAAATTTACTTTATATATCTTGTAAAAAGCTTTCAAATAAAGCTTGTATTTCTAAACAAACTTGAAATGATAATTGAGTCAAATAATAGTTTTCGATGTAACTTATTGTTATATCAATTAAAATTTGACATAATAACAGAAACCTAAACTGAAAGTAATCAAATTTTGAAACTTTCCATTGTATCTTTCTGCAAAAAGTGCTCAAGTGTTACACTATTTTTTTGCAATTATAATTGCAAAAGTAAACTATGTCAAGGTTTTATGACTTAAGTAAATTCTAATACCATTTATTATCATTAACTTTATATTTAAAGCTCATCATTCATACTATTAACATATTTATATACAAACATATTTACTTGGTTAATTTTCCACTAATTGTTATACAATCATCACACTAAATAAATGTAAATATTTTCTGTTTTTTTTTTATTAAATACATCATAAAAATATCACATTTATTATATTTACCATAGAATTTCAAAATAAAACTTAAATACTATTCTCGTAAATGTATTAAGAACATTTGTCCTTCTCTTCTCGAAGAAAAACTAGAACTCAAAATGTGATTTGAATTTTAAACGTAACAAAAATCTAGATTTTCTAGAGTAATACTAACTGTTATAACAAAACATTTTTAGATAAGATATCAAAGACAAGATTGTGAAATAAAAATGTGATCTCTTACTAACGTTTTAAGCTTTTCAGAAAACAATAAATGGATGTGACTGAATGGGTATGAGAAGTCAGGTTAGCGGGATAAATAATTATAGCAGGTTTATGTTATACTTAACACAACATTTGCTATAAATTTTAATCTAAAATACATAAAAAACAAAATGTATTTTTATATATATATTTTTTTTAGATTTTTTTCTTTGTGTTATTTAGCAAATATGAAATTTAAGAAAATTTCTTATCATCTTCAACAAAAAAAAACAAACTTAACACCTATAACACTTTTTTCTCTTTAAGTTAAAAAAATTTTCCTTAAGAAAAATCTCCACAACATCTAGTTTTATATACAAAATTAAAAATTTTAATCTAAACTCGTTAAACGAGGGTTTTTTATACATATATCTCTCGTAACAACAAGCCCAAGTGGGTGGTTTTGCTTATGAAAACCAAAAAACCTCTTGTTTTTGTTTACCCTAAATATTTTTGGGCCTCGAGTGCAGGGGAATTTTTTTATTTTAAGATTTACTTTTTTTAATTTTGTTGTTATTGTACGAGTTTCTGCTCATATGAAAACCATAAAACTCAATGTTTAATTACTTTTTATTTTAAGACTTTTTTGAACTTTATGTTTACGTTAGAAACAAAAAATAAAATACTTTATAAAAATAAAGGTGTGAACAATTTTTATTATTGTGTCACTCAGTCAAGTTTAGCTGAAAATATAATTTAAAAACAATTTATAATTTTTGTAATAAATAACATGAAAAAAAAGAGAAAGGAAATTTTGCATAATTGCAGATATTAAAATATAATCACAAAATTAGAGCTTATAATCTTTAGATAAAGCACTTAGCACTAATAAAAATATCTAAAACGGGCATCGGCAGAGAGTTATAACTGGGCTCTGCAAAAGGTTAAATAAGTATGTGTGAAATACGAAAGCTCTCTCTGCCTTTCTCTTATCTTTATATGTATAGAAAGACTAACTTAAGAGAGAGAGGGATTTTAATGGACGAAGTTGTGGCAATGATATCTACACTGGAGAAATACTAGAACTAGTGATCTGTAGAAAAGATTTGAGAGAGATGTTTGCACTGCGTTAGTTATCATGACAAACAGACCTATTAGAGAATTCTAATCGATGGATTTATTTATCCATGCAAACTTAAAAAAAATATATGATCCTCTCAGTTCAATGTTTGATTATTATGAATTATTAAGAATTCTGCTCTTTATTATTTTTCGCAATGAACCAGTGATCGGTTATTGAGATTGCAGAGAATAATATTATGAAATCCGATAGCTCTCTCTGCCTTTCACTTATCTACATATAAAGGAAAACATACTTTAGAGAGGGATTTTAATGTAGAAATTATTATTCATTTAGGAGAAATCTATTTCAAAATGAAAACTAGAACTAGTAATCTATAGAAGAGAATTAGAGAAAGAAAGAGATAGCTGTTATGTTAATTGCTTTAATTTCCATACTACGTTTGACCATTGCCATGAATACCGACTTTTTGATCAGATTTTCAGTCGACAAATTGGGTTTGAACCGAAAATATACGATTCTTAATCAGTTCTTTATTAGATTTATAAGAAATATTAAAATTCTTATTCGGAACCGGTAATTGGTGAAACGGTTTAACAAAGTATTGCTCCCCATTTTTTATAGCTGATAGAGGACTTTCTAATAAAGAATTTCAATCGACTAATTAGGTGCTCACACTAAAAATATTCGACTTATTTCGATAGAAAATGATTTATGTAATATTTAATTGCAAATGAGTAACATATATAATTCTATCAGTTCTATGTCTGATTTTTGTGGGAATATCAAAAGATTTGGCGGTTACTCTCTCATGGATTCTAAGACAGCTGATGTCCTTGCTAAGTTTGTCGTCTCTTTAAAGTCAATTTGTTTTGACGATCATACGTTTTATACCGAACACAGGTGGGTCCACATCTGTAACACATAATGCCTTCAAATTATATAGTAT